CTGTTGCTCTCTCGCTATCACATTGCAGTACACCCACTCCCTGTTGCTGTCTAGCTCTTTTACAACAGTACACCAACACCCTGTTGCTCTTTCGCTATCTTACTGCAGTACACCCACTCCCTGTTGCTCTCCCACTATCTTACTGCAGTACACCCACTCCTTTTTAGTTTCTCGGTATCTCACTGCAGTACACCCACTACCTGTTTATCTATCTCTATCTAACTGCATTAGACTCACTATCTGCTGATCTCCCGCTATCGTACATCAGTTCATCCACTCACTGTTTATCTCTCTCTATCTTACTGCAGTACACCCACTCCCTGTTCGCCTCTCACTATCTTACTGCAGTACATCCACTCACTGTTTATCTCTCTCTATTTTACTGCAGTACACCCTCTCCCTGTTGCTCTTTTCCTATCTTACTGCAGTACACCCTGTCCCTGTTCCTCACCCGCTAACAGACTCCGGTACACCCACTCCCTCGTGCTCTCTCGCTACCTTACTGCAGTACACCCACTCCCTCGTGCTCTCTCGCTACCTTACTGCAGTACACCCACTCTTTTTTGGTTTTTCACTATCTTACTGCAGTACAACCACTACCGGTTTATCTCTCTCTATCTAACTGCAGTGGATTCACTCTCTGCTGCTCTCCCGCTATCTTACAGCAGTACACCCACTCCCTGTTGCTCTCTCGCTATCTTACTGCAGTACACCCACTCCCTCGTGCTCTCCCGCTATCTTACTGCAGTACACCTACTCTCTGCTGCTCTCTCGCCACTTTACTGCAGTACACCCACTCCCTGTTGCTCTCCCACTATCTTACTGCAGTAGACTCACTCTCTGCTGCTCTCCCGCTATCTTACTGCAGTACATCCACTCACTGTTTATCTCTCTCTATCTTACTGCAGTACACCAACTCCCTGTTCGCCTCTCGCTATCTTACAGCAGTACACCCTCTCCCTGTTGCTCTCTCGCTATCTTACTGCAGTACACCCACTCCCTGTTCCTCTCCCGCTAACAGACTGCAGTACACCCTCTCCCTATTGCGCTTTTGCTATCTTACTGCAGTACACCCTCTCCCTGTTGCTCTCTCGCTATCTTACATCAGTACATCAACTCACTGTTTATCTCTCTCTATCTTACTGCAGTACACCCACTCCTTTTTAGTTTCTCGCTATCTCACTGCAGTACACCCACTACCTGTTTATCTCTCTCTATCTTACTGCAGTAGACTCACTCTCTGCTGCTCTCCCGCTATCTTACATCAGTACATCCACTCACTGTTTATCTCTCGCTATCTTACTGCATTACACCCACTCCCTCGTGCTCCCTCGCTATCTTACTGCAGTACACCCACTCCCTCGTGCTCTCCCGCTATCTTACTGCAGTACACCCACTCCCTCGTGCTCCCTCGCTATCTTACTGCAGTACACCCACTCCCTCGTGCTCTCTCGCTACCTTACTGCAGTACACCCACTCCCTATTGCTCTCCCACTATCTTACTGCAGTACACCCACTCTTTTTTGGTTTTTCACTATCTTACTGCAGTAGACTCACTCTCTGCTGCTCTCCCGCTAACTTACAGCAGTACACCCACTCCCTCGTGCTCTCCCGCTATCTTTCTGCAGTACACCTAATCTCTGCTGCTCTCTCGCCACCTTACTACAGTACACCCACCCCTATTGCTCTCCCACTATCTTACTGCAGTACACCCACTCCTTTTTAGTTTCTCGCTATCTCACTGCAGTACACCAACTACCTGTTTATCTATCTCTATCCAACTGCAGTAGACTCACTCCCTGCTGCTCTCCCACTATCGTACATCAGTTCATCCACTCACTGTTTATCTCTCTCTATCTTACTGCAGTACACCCTCTCCCTGTTGCTCTCTCGCTATCTTACTGCAGTACACCCACTCCCTGTTCCTCTCCCGCTAACAGACTGCAGTACACCCACTCCCCGTTGCCCTCTCGCTATCTTACTGCAGTACACCCACTCCCTGTTGCTCTCTCGCTATTTTACATCAGTACATCCACTTACTGTTTATCTCTCTCTATCTTACTGCAGTACACCCTCTCCCTCTTCGCCTCTCGCTATCTTACTGCTGTACATCCACTCACTGTTTATCTCTCTCTATCTTACAGCAGTACACCCTCTCCATGTTGCTCTCTCGCTATCTTACTGCAGTACACCCACTCCCTGTTGCTCTCTCGCTATCTTACTGCAGTACACCCCCTCCCTGTTGCTCTCTCGCTATCTTACTGCAGTACACCCTCTCCCTGTTGCTCTCTCGCTATCTTACTGCAGTACACCCACTCCCTGTTGCTCTCTCGCTATCTTACTGCAGTACACCCCCTCCCTGTTCGCCTCTTGCTATCTTACTGCAGTACATCCACTCCCTGTTGCTCTCTCGCTATCTTACTGCAGTACACCCTCTCCCTGTTGCTCTCTCGCTATCTTACTGCAGTACACCCACTCCCTGTTGCTCTCTCGCTATCTTACTGCAGTACACCCTCTCCCTGTTGCTCTCTCGCTATCTTACTGCAGTACACCCACTCCCTGCTGCTCTCTCGCTATCTTACTGCAGTACACCCACTCCCTGTTGCTCTCTCGCTATCTTACTGCAGTACACCCACTCCCTGTTGCTCTCTCGCTATCTTACTGCAGTACACCCTCTCCCTGTTGCTCTTTTCCTATCTTACTGCAGTACACCCACTCCCTGTTCCTCTCCCGCTAACAGACTGCAGTACAGCCACTCCCTGTTGCTCTCTCGCTATCTCACTGCAGTACACCAACTCCCTGTTCCTCTCCCGCTAATAAACTGCAGTACACCCACTCCCTGTAGCTCTCTCGCTATCTTACTGCAGTTCACCCACTCCCTGTTATTCTTTCGCTATCTTAATGCAGTTCACCCACTCCCTGTTGCTCTCTCGCTATCTTACATCAGTACATCCACTCACTGTTTATCTATCTCTATCTAACTGCAGTAGACTCACTCTCTGCTGATCTCTCGCTATCTTACTGCAGTACACCCACTCCCTGTTGCTCTCTCGCTATCTTACATTAGTAGATCCACTCACTGTTTATCTCTCTCTATCTTACTGCAGTACACCCTCTCCCTGTTTCTCTCTCGCTAACAGACTGCAGTACACCCACTCCCTGTTCCTCTCCCGCTAACAGACTGCAGTACGCCTACTACCTGTTGCTTTCTCACTGCAGAATACGCACACCCTGTTGCACCCTCGCTTTCTTACTGCAGTACACCCACTCCGTGTTGATCACTCGGTATCTTACTGCATAAACCCTCTCCCGCTATCTTACTGCAGTACACCCACTCCATGTTGCTCTCTCGCTATCTTACTGCAGTACACCCTCTCCCTGTTGCTCTCTCGCTATCTTACTGCAGTACATCCACTCACTGTTTATCTCTCGCTATCTTACTGCAGTACACGAACCCCTGTTCCTCTCAGGTTATCTCAATGCAGTACGCCTACTACCTGTTGCTTTCTCACTGCAGAATACGCACACCCTGTTACTCTCACGATATCTCAATGCAGTACGCCTACTACCTGTTGCTTTCTCACTGCAGAATACGCACACCCTGTTACTCTCTCGCTATCTTACTGCAGTACACCCACTCCCTGATGCTCTCTCGCTACCTACTGCAGTACATCCACTGACTGTTTATCTCTCTCTATCTTACTGCAGTACACCCTCTCCCTGTTCGCCTCTCGCTATCTTACTGCAGTACATCCACTCACTGTTTATCTCTCTCTATCTTACTGCAGTACACCCTCTCCATGTTGCTCTCTCGCTATCTTACTGCAGTACACGCACTCCCTGTTTATCTCTCTCTATCTTACTGCAGTACACCCTCTCCCTGTTGCTCTCTCGCTATCTTACATCAGTACATCCACTCACTGTTTATCTCTATCTTACTGCAGTACACCCACTCCCTGTTCCTCTCCCGCTAACAGACTGCAGTACACCCACTCCCTGTTGCTCTCTCGCTATCTTACAACAGTACGCGAACCCCTGTTCCTCTCACGATATCGCAATGCAGTACGCCTACTACCTGTTGCTTTCTCACTGCAGAATACGCACACCCTGTTACTCTCTCGCAATCTTACTGCAGTACACCCACTCCCTGATGCTCTCTCGTTAACTTTCTGCAGTACACCCACTTCATGTTGCTCTCACGCTATCTTACTGCAGTACACCCACTCCTTGTTGCTTTCTCGCTTTCTTACTGCAGAATACGCACACTCTGTTGCTCCCTCGCTTTCTTACTGCAGTACACCCACTCCGTGTTGATCACTCAGTATCTTACTGCATAAACCCTCTCCCGCTATTTTACAGCAGTACACCCACTCCGTGGTGATCACTCGCTACCTTACTGCAGTGCACCCACTCCGTGTTGATCACTCAGTATCTTACTGCATAAACCCTCTCCCGCTATCTTACTGCAGTACACCCACTCCGTGTTCATCACTCGGTATCTTACTGCAGTACACCCACTCCGTGTTGATCACTCGGTATCTTACTGCAGTACACCCACTTTACTGCAGTACGCCCACTCCCTGTTTGCCTCACGTTATCTCACTGCAGTACATCCACTCCATGTTGATCTCTCGCTATCTTACTGCAGTAGACTCACTCAATTTTGGCTTCTCGCTATTTCACCGCAATACACCCGCTCCCGGGTGTTCCCTCGCTATCTCACTGCAGTTGACCCGTTCTTTGTTGTTCTCTCGCAAGGGAGCGTTTGTACTTTAAGTTACTGACGGAACCAAATGCGCCTGATTCAATTTGCAACTTGGTATATGCCTGGTATGACCTTTTCACAAATGTGAATTTCTTTTATTGATCACTTGTTCCTATTCATTTTCACTTAGGTTTAACCAACTTACTTAGGAAACCAACATGAGACATAAACATTGCTTTTTGAGGCTGATAATCGTTCAGGCCCTTATCCAACATACATACTACTTGAAGAATACACCTTAATTCCATTAGTGTCCTGACCTCGCTTATCATGCCTTATTAATAATGCTATCAATAAACACATTGAACAAATATGCTTGAAATAAGGTGATAAATCTGGAAGAGATTTGTCCTCACAATTGGTGGTTTGTTTCGAAATTATATTTATTGAACACTTTTTGTCCCATTTACAAATGAACATTTGGGTTACAGTGGTAAGTATGTAATGACAAAATATAAAATGAGGTTGTCTACTGCAGTGATTTTCAGTGATCCCTTCATATAATCTCAACCCCCTATTTTGTCCTTCAGATCCAATGGAATGTGTCTCGGCAGATAACCGACACTGATTATTTTCTGGCGTTGGCGTTTTGTATTCGATAATTTGCTGTGATTTTATAAACAAAAATTGCCCCTTAAATTTCTTGAAATGCTTTAGACAATTTGAATAAAAATAAAAATTCCCTATCACAAAAATTACATTGTTGCAAGGTGATTTTCTTCAAACAGAAATTCAGGCTCAAAGTTAAAGATATATAAATTGTTTTGTACCTGTAGCTGAAAAACATATCTAATCTCGATGCATATTCCGAGCCCCTCAGATTATTATTGTTATGACTTACTTTTTAGTAACATTCAAGTAAATAAAAGAGACGAAAAAAATTCAATAATCATAGGAAATCTCTTCTAAATTTAAACTACGTATCAGACACCGATTGCACCCTCAATGGCGTTGAACCATTCATATATATATTGGCTGTATCGCTATAAATAAGTTTCGTGCAGCTTTGGCAAGGCTACGATGTGGCTCACATCGTCTAAAGGAGAAACTGGTAGATACGTCAGCATGCCAGTAAACCAAAGAATATGTGATGTGTAGCTACGGATATGTTGTAAGTGAATACCATTTTATATTGATATGTAGTGGATATGAATACCTGCGGCAGTTCTATATCCCCCAAAAGCACTATATATTTACACTAATTCAAAATGTTATTGTCTCAGAACAAGTCGAATATTATACAAAATATGACAGTGTGTTATTTTCTGCGCTAATAATTTGAGAAAAGAAATGTTCCTACTTCTTCCATATTACGTCATATGGCCAGCTTTTGTACTGATTTGGGTCTAATTTCTGACCCCCGATACTTGGTGCATATGCAGAATACTGCAATCCTAATAACAAATCTACCAGGTTTTTCCCATTAATGTCTGCTTTCATAAGTACCCATTCCATCAGAATTGCAGGAACTTCTATCTCTTTGAAAAACCTTTTTGAACCTCTGAGAACAAAATATTCATACTCTTGTATGTCCATTTTTAAAACGGCCTTCTTGAATGGCAGATAGGGTAATGTATCGTCTAGGGTGATCGTATACGAGTCAGCGGATTCCTCACAGGGGGATTTAGAAGAAGACCCAGACGATGCCACAACGCTTGTCCCTCCAACGTTGCCAACATCAGGCTTGAAATTCACGAAGGAGTGGTTTGCTCCAAGGGGATTGAATATGATGGTCATCCTGTCTGTGAAGCCACCTTTCTGAATGGACTTACACAGTCTCTGGACATTCTCTATGAGCGGATCCACAGATACCACCTTCCTCCCGAACTTGGCCACTGACAGGGAGAAGGCGCCGACATGAGATCCTAAATCCATGAAGCCAAGTTCAGGGTCTTTTTTTAATTCTGACAAAACGAGGTTGATGTTTCCAGGTTCCCACGCCCCCTTCTGTTTTAGGTCCTTAGACACCCACTTATCAGCCACGATGTCGTGTATATGGATCGGCGTCTCTCCCGACGGTGTCTTCAGAGGAACACAGTCAACGTGGACAGTCCAAGTGCAGAACTCGTGAAGCTGTTGCATCTCTCTTCCGTTGAATCTGTACACTAAGGTTTTACCAGGACTGGGGCTGGACCTGAACGAGACAGCCCTGCTGTCATCAACTACCATGTATGAGAAATGAGGCAGGACTGCGTGTTCAAAGAAGAGCATTGAAAAGGCGCCAACGCCCACCAACAGAAGCAAAGAAGTTTGACGAAAGGAAGACATAATGCTCTCTGGCCACCTTCTGTTGAATCTCTGGAGGTGAAAGCTGAAACGTGAAGACAACTGTTATAAGTGTGCTTGCAATACCAAAAACAAACATACTTGCAGAAATCATACCTATACTTTCTTGGTAAAGTGACTAAATAGCGAATATAAAATCATACATACCGGTTGTTATGTCATTTACAAGCCTAAATAACTGTCTTACATATTATATTTACAATGGAGTAGTATTGATTATAATTTATTTGTCTCATCTCTTCTTCTAGTGGTAACAACTAGTGAGTGAGTGAGTGATTTGGGTTTAACGCCGCTTTTAACAGTATTCCAGTTATATTGCGGCGTGTCAGCTTAATGTGGGAGGAAAGCCCGAAGTGATGCAGGTCCCAGACGTTTACCACTTCGGTGAAACCCACGAGCACGGGTATGGTGCTGACAAACCTAGAAACATAATCGGGGCGAACCGGGATTCGAACCCACAATCATAGGTTTCTGGCGTGCCCAAGGGAATCGCGAATCGCGGCGCCTTAGACGACCGGGCCATCCGTGCCCCCGGTAACAACTAGTACTTTGGTAATCATATAGTCTCGAAAGGCTTAGAAGAAACCAAAATCCTGGAAAAACGTGATCATATTGAACATCTTTCCGTGTTTCTATCGCTTTGTTTACGCATTTCTGTCTCAAATAAAACAAAAAAACTCCTAGTTAGACCCTTCCATTATTTTCAGTGAAAAAACCACAATGAGGTAGGATTGGAAAAGTACATAAAAATTTGTTTTTATTCGGCATTTGACGTCGTATTTGAGGTAGTGTTAACACTATTTAGTGCAAAAATCGTCGTGGTAACATTTCATCCTTGAGCGCACATTAACGGGTCATTGGTCATGCAGTACTTGTCTCTGTGAAGCAGTGAAAGAATCTGGGTTGTGTAGTTTGTTCAGTTCATCCTACTCTCCGATTAGTTGAAGATGTAGTATTATGTTCATGATAGCTACTCGTTCCAAGGAACAAACGATTTAAATAGCAACATGGAGCGAGTTGGGTTTACTTTGAACAGAGGCTTAGTTATACCAATGCATCTCAGCTTGGTGATGGGGAAGCCCGCGGTGCTGCAGATCTTGATTTGTTTGTTTGTTTGATTTGTTTGTTGTATAACGCCACACTCAGCAATATTCCAACTTTATGACAGTGGTCTGTAGAGAATCGAGTCTGGACGAGCCAATCAAGGGAATGACATGATTATCGATTATCGATCGTGATACGATAATATGCATCAACTAAGTCATCGCGCATGGCCACCCGATCCCGTTAGTCGCCTCTTACGACATAAGCGATAAAACCTTTTCCATTGTCACGAAAGCAGGTCGATTATAGGATTTTTACTGTATCATGAACATGTGTTTATGCATCACTATCAAACAGTGATGATACCAGGTGTTGGCGAAAAGGTGAGCATATCCTGTTTCACTGGAGGCACCGGTCACAAACACACGCAAAGGTAAGTCAATTGTTCATCTGACAAGGACACGGGAACATATGGTACAATGGTATATTGTACTGTATAAAGAAATGTTTGCAAATGGGCAGAGACATTACAACTGTTCCCTCCTGTTGCAAAAGGAACATATATCTCAAACATTTTTTCTTCACTAATAAGCAGTAGACTCTCTACACTTGTAAACAGCAGATGTAATTCAAAATTAACAAATCGTTTTTAGTTTCACCAAAATCAGCAAACGTGCATTCGTGTCTCTGGATTAACAGGTCCTTCATTTGATTGTCTGATTTGTTTACGGGCCGTCGTATGGCCTGAGTTCTGCTGTACGTTGTTATGCAGCAACTACTTTTTTGTTCAAATTGTGTGGTGAAAGATGAAGACCTACCAAACTCTTAGTATCTAGCTCACTTTAAACATGGGCAAAGCCATGGAATCCTTGCACCACCTCAAAACAGGCAACCAAATCAAGCCTGACCCAATTCAAGAAGACTGGGAAGTGAAAAGGGAGCAATATGTACAATACCTAGAAGTTCACACGGGTTCAGCACCCGTTGAACACGCGTGTGCAACCCGTTGAGCACGCGTGGGTCACTCGTTGCACATGCGTGTGCCATGCATGTAACGCGGGACCAGGTTTCAGTTGAATTTGACAAATGTATCAAATGAATAGTGAGATAAAACAAAACAGTGAGATGTGAATCTTGAGTTAATGAGGAGCCATTGACCTGTGTTCACCAGACCATAAACACAAGGTCGGACCGTCTTAATTAGTGTTTGGTTGCTGGACTTTTATGGCATGGCCCATTCCACGAGGGTCCAGTCTAGCCATTGGGACTAGCCGACAGTAGAACAGTAGTGAATTTAGATGCGTGTTTATTGCTAGGGGAACACCGAGTTGACACGGTGTAATCCCATTAGTTAGACAGCCAGCTGTTAGGCACCTTAAAATAACAACTTTTCTGGTTGAGTGCACAACAAAGTGAAATGCTGTTACCTTGATTGATAATGGAATGACCCATAGCTAAACATCAAGATATAACAAAACAAAAAGACTTTTTAAGTCAGATGTACTTATTTTATAAACGTTCATCTCAGATTTGGCTGTTACATCAGATATATATATACAACACGTCGCATTTTAGTTCTGGAAACCCAATAGTCAAGAAACTCTACAGTCTTTGCCCAGTCTCGGTCAAAGGTATTTACAAAAATAAACTTGCTGTTTTCACGGGAACATACTAAGGAAGAAAAAATGTTCAAAAAAATGTTCAAAAACTCAATATTTACGCTATGTCGCCCTTGGGCGAGAACATGTTCCTTTACTTAAAACTCATGTTTTTGTTTCACAAATATATAAATGTATTTCTTTCAAGTATCATGACACAAAATGTAACTCATTTTAACTTAATTCAACGATTTTATAGCGAAACTGAAATATTTCGCCCATGGGCGAGAAAAAGGTTTGGCCCATGGGCGAGAATATATTCCCTTACTTAAAAACTCATGTTGTTTCGCAAATACATAAATGTATTTCTTTCATATATCATGACACATAATTTAACTCATTTTCTTGATAACACACCTCCAGTGGGTGCTGGTCTGTCTTTCTCGATTTCGGTTGTAGAGATATCCATGCAGAAGAATCTGAGGCGTGCCTCTCTGTGACATAATATGTTCCACTTTCCTTAACCCAGCCATTCTGATAATGCTACCAGGGTTTGGGTCTGGGTCTATTCGGAGATTTAACGTGCGCTTTCCACATGTAATAAATTACATTTAGCGTATCTCGCACACGGTCTACCATGGTCTTACTTACTTACTTATATTGGAGATTTTACGTGCGCTTTCCGACTGCAGAGTATTTCGCACACGAGCCCGGCCAAGCCATTTAATGTGTTTCCGAAAAAGGGAAAAAGTTTTTGGCAATCCAGTAGGGGCGTTTTAGTGGTTGCTTATATAGAATTTTGGAAATTTGGAAATTTGGAAAAAATGCCAAGAGGGTTTGGGGGGCGAACTATGGGACCAGAGTATGGAAGTTTGTTAGTTTGATTATGTGGTCTGGTTTTGGTAGTTTATTGGGGTTTTAAATGCGATTTATTAGTCTTGTTTTGACTAAGTATACGCCTAAGGCTTTGAATTTTTCTATTTTATTTTGTGGTTTAGGATTGCTTCTAGAGTAAGAGCCTTATTTAGATTTAGGGTGGTTTGTAGTGTAGTTCGGTGTGTTAGGTAGTGGGTGCAGTGTATGACTGCGTGTTCTGGGGTTTCTTGTTGTTTGCAATGTGGGCAGGTTCCTGTTGCGTGTTTTTTGTTATTATTTTGAAGTGGTTATTTAGGTTGGTATGTCCTGTTTAGTTTAGTTTAGTTTAGTAATTACTCTGTCGATTGTTTCGGATGTAGAATTTTTGGTTTGGTTAGGGTTTTTTTTAGAACCTTTTTTATTTGGCTATTTGAGTTTTGATATAGGTTATGCCATTTTTGGTGATTTTTTGTTTGTTGACACTTTTAATTTCTGATTTGGAGATGGGTAGGTTTAAGCTTATTTCTGGGATTTTAAGGGATAATTTAGCTACTTTATCGGCGTTTTCATTGCCGTATATTCCTACGTGGGCGGGGATCCAAATGAATACTATTTGTTTGCCTGCCTTAGTTAAATCGTTTGAGCTTTTAAGTATTTGATTTATTAGTTCAGGGCGGTTTTTGGGCTTGTAGTCCACTGAGCGAGTCGGTAAGTATTAGGATTTTTTGTTGTTTAGATTGTTGATTATGAAGGGCTGAGGCCATGTCCATTAGTTCGGCCGTGAATATTGATTGATTGTTTGGGAGTCGGTAGGATTGTGTGGCTTTAGTTGGTTGTGTGATGTGGACTCCGAAACCTGTGTGTTTGGAGATCGGATGTGAGGATCCGTCTGTGTAAATGTGACACCAATTTGGCCAATTTTCATGTATGTATGCTAGTGCTAGTTTTTGCTATGTTTGGGTCGGTTTGTTTATTTATTGTGCTAGCTAGTGTTATGTCTATTTGGGGTGTTTTAAGTTTTAGGGTGCAGATATTTGATTTTTTACAGTTTTGTTTAAGATTGTATTATTTGGTGTTCATTTAAGTAATTGGTTATTCTTTGGGATATTGGAGTAAGTAGAGGGTGTTTTCGAGCTAGGGCTTGGTTTTTGGGGCTGATATTATATTGGGGCTGTTTATTAGGTTTTGAACTAGGGGGTTGGATTGAGACGCGGCCAAGAAATTTAGGGTTAAATGTTCCCTACGTAGATTTAGTGGCAGTTCTCCTCTTGAGGCCTGGAGTGTAGGAGGTGCCATGTTGAGTGCGTGTTATTAGTTTTAGAGCCTGATATTGGATTGAGTCTAGATTTTTGCTTAGGGATTGGTTGAGGGTGTCGTATATGGCACATCCGTAGTCTATTTTAGATTTAACTAGTGATATATAGAGTGAAAGGAGGGTGTCTTTGGAGGCCCCCCAGTTTGAGCCAGTTAGGCATTTTAGCGTATTAAGATCTTTGCTACATTTAGTTATTAGATTTTTTATGTGAGC